TCCATTCCCACCCGTCCTCCCCAGTCCCTTTCCCTTTGGTAACTGTTAGTCCATTCTTGGGTTCTGTGATTCCGCTGCTGTTTTGTTCCTTCAGTTTCCTTTGTTCTTATACTCCACAGATGAGCGAAATCATTTGGCATTTGTCTTTCTCCGCCTGGCTTATTTCACTGAGCATAATACCCTCCAGCTCCATCCATGTTGTTGCAAATGGTAGGATTTGTTTTCTTTTTATGGCTGAATAATATCCCATTGTGTATATGTACCACATCTTCTTTATCCATTCATCTACTGATGGACACTTAGGTTGCTTCCATTTCTTGGCTATTGTAAACAGTGCTGCGATAAACATAGGGGTGCATCTGTCTTTTTCAAACTGGAGTGCTGCATTCTTGGGGTAAATTCCTAGGAGTGGAATTCCTGGGTCAAATGGTATTTCTATTTTGAGCATTTTGACCTGGCCCAGGTTCTTAACAACTACTCACACTACAGACCATTGAAAGGACATCTGACTTGGGTTCAACATGACATCCCGGCCTTGGACAAGAGCCCAGTCTCTGCCTCCAAGCCACCCACGCAGGGGCCAGCCCTGCCTCTGCCTGTGTCTAGACTGGCCCAGGCTCCCCCCTTGCAGCCATGTAGGCAGACACCAGGCCTGGGGTGGGTAGGACGCATTTACTCCACAGCAGGCAAAGGGGATCATCGGACACTCTGGGGTTAGCAGGGCAGAGAGATAGAGGCCAGACTTTGCCACCAGAGCGGCCTGGCTCCCTCTGAGCTTCAGCTTCCACGCTGGCAACATGGCAGCAGTAAGAGACCACCTGGCCCGCAGAAGGGCTGGGGCAGGCTCCTGGCTCCTTAGTGCCTGAGGGGCTCTCCCGGGGGTCACCCACCAAGCACAAGCAGAGCTGGATCCCACCAGGCCACGCCCCTTGGGGCGGAATCCTGCCCCACAACCGCCCAGCTGTGTGACCTTGTGTTGGTCACAACACCCCGCTGGCCTCAATTTCCTCAACAGAATAACAGAATATCCTTACCCATGCTTGGTGTACAGTGTCATCGAGGCTACTTATTTTTATTATCCCAGGGCACATTCCAGCCCTCCTTCCCAGCAGGCTGGCTGGGTGAGAGGCTGGACAGAATCATGAGAGGCAGGTGCAGGAGAAGAGGCCAGGGCCCGGGTACCAGGCTCCTATACAGAAGCTGCCCCGGGGGACCAGTGCTGCAGGAGGTGGCAGAGAGCCGCCCCACCTCCCTAGTTTCCCAGAGAACTTTCTGCTGAAATCGAGAGCGGGCCTCGGCACAGTCACACATGCACATGCATGAACACCCAGGACGACCTGTGACCACTGCAGCTGCCCCCAGTCCTGGTGCCTGCAGCTGCCCTCCCTGGAACATAGGACACAGGTGGCTTCGATCCCAGCTCTGCCCGTTCTGTGACTTGGGCCAACTCCCCTTCCCTCTGTTTTTCACTTGCAAACAGGGATAGGAATTTCCCTATCCTGTATGAGGAATAAATGATAAACGTCAGAGCCTGTGCACGGTGCACGGTGCCCGGCACACGGCATGTGCCTGTCCCTTCTGCTTCCCTTCTCTCCCCTTGCCCCTCGCCTCTCCCTGCCAGGCCTTTCTGCCCAGCCTGGGAGTTACTGCTGCCGCCTCCCTGAGCCCCATTACAGCAGCTCCCCTCTTCCCTCATGACTTGAGACTTCACCCACCTCCACCCTGGCGGCTGAGAGCACCAGTCACCAAAGCAGGGACATGCGGTCCCCAACCTCACACCCAGCAGGGCACCTGCAGCCCTTAGCGACTGACACCCAGAGGAAGAGGGCAGAAGAGGAGCTGGAGCTGCTGCCCGCACCACAGCCGCAGGGCCTGGAGGGCTGCGGCCTGAGCACCGGTGCTTCAGCCCCACCTGGCCCTGCTGCCCTCCCCACAACCCACGGGAGCAACAGGCCGCCAGCCCTGGTGGTAGGAACAGCCCCACCGGCGGGGCACTCGCCTCGTTCGTGCTTCGTGCGCATCACCTCATCTAATCTTCCCAACACCCCCATGAGGACGTGACTGTTGTGGTCCATTTTGCAGATGAGGAGATTGAAACACAAAGAGATTTCAAAATTTACTCAAAGTCACACCGTTCACTGTGGTGACAATATGAACCTAGCTCAGAACTTGAGTTCTTAATCCTATGCTTTTCTGCTAAGTCCACCCCTGGCACCTCAGCAAAAAAACCTTAGCAGCTACTTATTTTTACTATAAAAGGGGAAGGGAAAGGGGAGAGAACGATGGGGTCTCCCTTCTGGGCTGGGCTGACTGAAATGGAAAGCAGACCAGCACAGAAGTGCTTAAAGCAGAGATACTCTGACCTTTCAAAGCTAAAAATTAAGTAAGGCCCTACGTACAGGCTGCCCCTTAGGGCCCAGGCCTCACACGCAGCCCCACCATTCCCTTGGGTTAGGAATCAGGGCACTCCCAGCGTGGATCGGCGCCCCAGACCCACTTGAGAGGTCAGGCCGGTGAACCCCAGCAGCAGTGAGGGGACGGGTGGGGGCCCGGCAAGCCCTCCCATCAGGCCTCCTGGGTCGGGCTGAGGGGGCCCTTCTGGAGCAGCCCTCACACTTCTGGTCCCCTCAGAGGGGTGTCCGCCCTTTGGTGCCCATGCGTGGCTTTGCCTGGGGCAGAGCATCCCGACAAGGCCGCCCGAACCACTGAGGGAGCCTTGGGGCTCCTCCTCCTTTCCTCTAGCAGATGCCGTTGTAACCATGGCTCCCAGATTTGCATGTCACCTCCCCACAAGCTCCCCGTGGCCCCTACAGGCTCCGATCCAGCACAGGCTTCTTCTAATCCAAAGATTTCAAGGTGCCATCCATGAATCATGAATGATTGAACCATGTCGGATGTCACACATCAGGGTGGACGGGATGACGGCCCTTCAGCTCATTCCGGTCAGCCTTGTGGATTTGGAGCAGACTCCTCCTAACTCTACCCCAGAACAGCACCCTGGCCACTAAGCCCTGGTTCCGTGTGGGCTCCAGGCCTCCCACCCTCCTGCCTGTCTCCACCCCTTCGTGTAGTGCGGTGGCCACCCCACACTGCCTCAACCCCTCCGTGTCTAGGACAAGCACCTGGAGCTCGCTCGCGCCGAACCAGATGGGGCTGGGACCCCTTGGCCACCCAGGAACAACAAGCTGGAGAGGACCGCTGAGGGCGGTCACTGCAAGGTAGCTTCTAAGAGAGGACAGACTCTGAGCACGCACAAACGCAGTGTGCAAGCATGGAGGAAAGGGAAGTGGGTCATGTCTAGGAAGGGCAGATGTGCCCCAAGGAGGGCACCCAAGGGACCAGCCAGCAGCTCCATCTTGCAGCCCTGCTGACTATGGTTTCTTGGTCCCCTGACTTGATGTGGCCTCACACCATGGCTTCTCTAGAGGGAAGACCTCAGCTCCTGGGGAACTGGCCAGGGGACATGGTGGCCAAGACTGTGGTCTTCAACCATGTCTCTTCCCTTGGAGGCCATGTGCAGGGTAAAGGGGAGTGATGATGGGTAGACTGTGCGACCCGAGAGGGGACCCAGGCCAAATCCTACATCAGCCTCCAGGGTCCTTGTCCACCTCTCAGCCTCCATGTCCCCACCTCTAGGAAGCAAACAAACTACTCCCTCTCATGAGTTATTAAGATCAATGAGCTAATTAAAGTATGAAAAAGGTTTCCTGTAGATATAAAAGAGGTGATCAGCCATGGCAAGTTAATAACAATTAATAGCCCCCTCCTTACTCCAGGCAGTCTGCCTGGATTGGGTCCAGTGGACACAGTTTCTCCTCATTAGAATGCAGGAAAGCTGTGCTGGCCTTTGCAGAGGCATCTGAGCTGCTAAGGGCTGTGCTTCTCTGTTCCCCAGAGTCCTGCACACTCTTCCCTATAACCAGTCCCACCCCATGCCAGGCCCAAGGCTCTGCACAAACAGAACTCAGTCCATGCAGCAAATAACTGATGTGGATTTTAGCATTTATTGAGTACCCCCAGTGTGCCAGGCTCTGTACTTGGCCTTCACCACACAACAACCAGAAGATACATGGGGAGGAGCCCTCTTCTACAGATGAAGAAATGCGGGGGTGTGGGTCACACTGCCAGCCGTGAGGTCAGAGCTCCAGCTCCGCGTCTCAGTCAGCCCCCGTGTAGCAGAGCTCGGCCTGACAAGGGTGGAGAGCCGGGGAGCCCCACCCTTAGGTGCCCACTGCTTCCCACCAGCTGCTGCTGCAGGCGTAGGAGGTGGTGCTGCCTCCCTACTTCACACCCCTCCGCTCCCCACTAACTCCGCAGACACACTGAGGCCCCCTGATGGGAATTAGAGCCAGAGTCCTCCCGGAAAGCAGCCACTCAGCAAAGCCTCCTTGGAACTAAGGTCTGATGGGACACCAGAAGCCGAGGGGAGGAAAAACCGCACACAGCACAGACGATGCCGCGTCTGACCCCCAAGACCTGCTTGGGCTCACCCTGCCGCCCCTCACAGGACCATGTCCCCCAGAGGCTGACGCATCACAGAGCACACCAGGCCCCCAAGGCCAAGGCTGACCACTCGGAGCCCCTGCACTCAACCCCACAGGCAGGCTCACCGTAACTGAGTGGCCCACGGACCTGCCCCCTGCTGAACAAGAGGCCTTCAAGGTCCCTAAGCCTCAGTCTTGGCTGGGGCTTGGACCAGCACCCCCAAAACCCCAAAAGCCACTCCCAGGGACCCCCAACACCTATAAACCTCACACAGCCAGATCAAGGAGCCCCCTCCTCCTTTCTTCCCCAAAAAATGATCCCCAAACCTTCTCACCCGCTTCTTCACCCTGCGACCCAACAGCGCACCCAGGAGCATGGCTGGAGGAGGCCAAAGGTGGGCTCCAGAAGGTGGAAGGGGAGAAAGAGGGCGAGTCGGCGAGGGGGCTGTGACCCTGGGACCCGCCCTGCCCTGTGCCCAGCCATACCATCCACCAGCCCCGGCACTGGCCGCTTACCTCTCGGGGCCACGCGGGCTCTGGGGCTCTTCAGTGGACACCTGCAGAGACACAACAGGGAAGGGGTGAGATGACCCTGCAGACTCCTTGCCCGCAGGACCCATCCTGCAGTCACCCCACCCTCCACCCGCCCAAGCCTCTGGCCAAAGCCCTGGCGCAGATGGCACAGGAGGAGACCTAGACCCAGCCCTCCGGGAGCAGCTAGACATCCTTAGGGTGCCAGGCTCGCTCCATGGGATCAGAATGCACTTCCTCTACAGCAGATGCAGGGGCTGCGGCCAGCTGGGGAGAGCCTGCCGGAGGGACAAAGTGACCTGCAGGCCCAGAGCTCCAGGTGGGCCTGAGGGACGAGCACACCAGACCAGGAGAGTAGCTGCCCCCGCCCACGGCACCTGCCCACGGCAGGAGTCAGCAGTTCTCTGGACCCTGGACACACGGCACTGAACCTCAAATTCTCCCTCCTGGGCCAGATGTGGTGTCCAGAGGGAAACATCCTCTCCGTCACCTCTGACTGGGACCTTGACCTGGGTCATCTCAGCTTTGCCACTGGCTCACCCCATGACCCTGGGCCAGCCCTTTTCCCCTCCCTGTGCCTTGAGTTCCCCATCAGTCCAGCAGGCACATCAGAGGCACCTGAGGGCGCACGGAAACACAGCTTGCTGGGCTCACCCCACAGTTTCTGATTCAGCAGGTCTGGAGGTGGGGCTTGAGAATGTGCATTTCCAGCAAGCTCCCAGGTGAGGCTGATGCTGGCATCTGGGGATCACACTTTGAGAATCCCTGGTCTAAATGGGTCCAGCATGCAAGGCACATAGCCTACACCGTCGAGGAGTCCACAGGCTAACTGAGGAGACTACACACGCATGCACACACTCACACGCACATGCACTCACGTGATACACACATTCACACACAGTGATTCAAAGCAGCCACAGTAGGAAATGTGGCTTCTAACCACTACGAAGATTTGATAGGAGGGAGTTGTGAGCTGGTGTAGTCATGCAAGACTTCAGATGCAGACCTAAACGACCATTTTTACATATTGTAGTCTTATTATTATGCAGATAATACATGAAAGCTTTCTCTTGTTCACAGCTTCAGCTACACATATCTGTCGAATAAACACACTCACTCCTGGCTGTCTCTTCAAAGGCCCTGAATGCTGTCTCTTCGGAGACCTTCCCTTGTCCATACACAACGACAACAATAATCACTGCTTAACTCATTGAGCCCCTACCACGTGCCAGACACTGCACTGAGGCTTTATGTATTAACCCCTTTAATTTTCATAGCAACCCCCTAAAATGGGTGCTGTGGTCAGCCTAACTGAAGATGAGAGGGCCAAAGTGCAGAGTGGCGGTACTCTGCCCACGAACACTCGGCTAGGGGGGCTGAGCCAGTCACGGGCGGGGTCTGCGCTCCTAGGAGAGCTGTGGTTGAATTCTCCGTGGGGCTACATCGAGGAACTCCACATGTGGGCACACCCTCACCTATTTAACCAGACGCCCCACTCCAGATGAGTTCCTAGGGGTTTCTTATTTTTATTTTAAACACTGCTGGAAAAAGACATCCTGCCTCTCTGTGCACATCTTCGAGTATTTCTAAGGGGTGTACACATTTTAAATTTTGGTGTGCACTGCCAAATTGTCCTCCAAAAATGCCTGGCTGGCCATTGTCCCCGATGAACACCTACTTAAGAACAGTTCCTCCTTACTGAGTACCTACTATGCCCCAGATTCAGTCCCATCTCCATCTAGTAAAGAGCCTATCAATACGCCTCAGTATTGGGGAGAAAGAATCCTCAATTCCACATGCCCGCCCATTTTTCTGTTCCCTTTTACGGCAGAACTCAAGGGCTGTCTCTGCTCAGGGTCTCAGTCTCCGTGGCCTCACATCCCATCTCCCTCATTCCCTCTCTAGTTGGGCTTCCATCCCCACCGTTCCACAAAACTGCTCTTTTCAAGGTTCCCAGAGACCTCAGTTTAGCCAAACCCAGTGATCACTCTCTGGCACTGCTGACCGCTTCCTCGGTAGGAAAACACTTAATCCGTGCGCTCCCAGGGCTCTGCCTTTCCTGATTGTCCTCCCGTGCCTTCCTCCCTTCTGACCTGCCTCCCTCTCAACAGCTGAAGCCCCGGGGCTCATGCGGCTCTCTTTTCTCTCCTGTCTATACATTCCCTAGCTGGTGTCACCTGGTCATGTGGCTTTAAATCCCAGCCATACCCCCAGATCTCTCTCTTGCACCCCAGCTCTCTCCTGAGTGCCAGTTGCACACACCCAGGGGCCTCTCTGTCATCTCCACTTGCCCACCCAACAAACCCGTCCAAACCAGAACTCGCGCTACATCTCCCTCAGCCTCGAGTCCTCTTTCTCTCTCAGCCTACCTGCGCACAAGCCATCAGCAAACCCTGTCAATCCAACCCCCAGGACACATCCGGACCCTGCCAGCTTCTCCCGCTGAGGCTCCTCCTGCCCTCCCCAGCCCTGCCTAGATGCTGCGGCGGCTGCTGCCCTGCTGGGCTCCCTGCTCCCCACCCCAACCCCAGACTGTCACCAGCGGCCAGAAGATGATACAATCGGATCCTGTCACTGCCCTGCCACAGGCAAGGAATTCCAGCAGCAGAGAGTATCAAGTCCAGACTCTTCGAAGCTCGGTCACTGCTCAGAACTCACCTGGCACCATGTCCCACCCCCACCCCATCCCACACTGGCCGGTCTCAGGGGCTCAGTCTTTGAGATCCATCTCCTGAATGCTCTTCCCCCAGACTCCCCTATCACCCCATTCAAATGGAACCTCCTTGATCCTACCTGGTCACCCTAGGTCAGATGCCCCTATGCTCCACCCCAGCCTCTTCCATGTTTCATAGTGTTTATCCCTAGCAACATTATCTGGCTCATTTGTGTCCTTGTTTCTTATGTCTCCTTATCATAACACAAACTCTATAAGGCAGGGGAGGGACCACGTCTGTCTTATTTGGCTCTGTATCCACTTCTATACCGTGTGCAGTGCTGGGCCCATGAACACGCTCAGTAAACATCTGTGAAATGAATGAATGACCAGGCAGAGCCAGCTCTATCTGGTTACAAAGCCTATGCTCCTGCTCCCCACACGGACTGCCTCCCATATGAATAAGTGGGAAGGAGCCAGGGGGCACCCCCAGCAGGACAGGGTCCTCCGGATGCAGGCAGGGTGGTAAGCACAAGGCTGGGATGAGGCCCGCTGGAGCAGCCGCTCAGCACCGGGGAGCAGTGGGGCCTGAGGCCTCCCTGGGTGCCAGGCCCAGCAGCCCCTGCCCCAGGGGGGCCTGGGGCTCCCACACCTGCCAACCTATCCCATTCAAGAGGGAAGCTTGGGGGGCAGCAGGCAACTGAGTGCAACATCCTGGCAGGGGGCCAGGATGACTGCCAACAGCTGGCACTGCTGCCAGGCAGCCAAGTAATCGTGTTAGCCAGCGGAAATTGGTCCAGGGAGTTTTTTCCTTCACCTCCCGTTTTCTTTCTCTTCCCTTCCCCCCTCTGAGCTGCAAGACTTGAAGATTGATCTTTGCCTGAAACGGAGGAGATAACTCGATGTAATGAACTCCACTGTCTCTCTTGCTGTTCGGAGCTTTTAAAAAATTTAGAAGGGCTGGGGACAACAAAGCTTCTCCTCAGGGCCCCCTGGCACTGCTCCCCCTCCCCTGGAAGACCCTCCCCCTTCCAAGACCCTCTCCCAACTCTCCATCCGCTTCCTTCCCCCTTCTTTTTCCCCTGGGATGTCTTAATGGAAAAAAGGTTAAAAATATCCCCTTTCTCTCGCAGGTTTTAAAAATAATTTCACTGAGGTCAGGGCTGGATCCACCAATCACCCTGCCTCCCACGGTCCCCCCTCCATGGCCGCCCCCAGTGCCCAGAGTCACCAGCCAGCCTAGGGGTGACAAGCTGGCTCAGTCCACCTGCTCTCAAAGCATTTCCAAGGGAGCTAGTGAGGCCCAGCCGCCCACAGAGGCACTGCCAGAGAGGGCTTTTGTTCCAACAGAAAGCTCTTTCAAGAGCCGCCTAATGACACACAAAGGGGGCACAGCTCTGGACGGGACCCAGGCTTTGCCCCTACCTCACCAGAGATCCATGACTCCCCGCCATCGGCCCCACCCTCCCCCGGTGCTCCTGGGCTCTGTGCCTCTGAGTGTGTCCACATATGCAACCAACATTTAGTAAGCACCTACTCTGTGCCAGGCACTGGGCTGGGAGCTAGGGACAGAGGGGATAACCAGACTCTACCAATTCTGTCCTCAGTGGCCTTAAAGCCTGGCGGGCAATCAATGGTCACAGCAGGGTGGGTGGGTGGGACGTACAAACTGGGATGAGTGCTTTAGAGGAATCCTGAGAGCATGAACAAGTCAGGAAGAACTTCCCGGAGAAGTGTCCTTGGGGCAGAGATCTGCAAAACAAGTAGATGGCTGGGCAGGGGGTGTGGGCGGAGGGCTCCAGGCATTATGGGAGGGTCTGCTCTTAAGAACAGGCCACCCAATCCAGGGCCTCTCCCCCAGGGTTCCCTGCCTGCAGAGGGAGAACAGATCCTAGGCCTGGCATTCAGGGCCCTTCCTAGCCTGACCTCTGCCATCCCCTTCGAGACACAGCTCAAATCTAGCCTCACCAGCTTTCGGGCAGGAGTTGGTGCTGTCTTTGGGCTCCCACGCCAGCACAGACCACAGCAGCCTGCTGCTGGATGGTGCAGGCACCCCTGCCCACACAGGCCATGCTGAACCGTCTCTGTTACCCATTCAGAGCCCTGCTCAGAGCCAGAAGTAGGTGCCAGTAAGAAGGCGGCAACTGAGGACATCAGAATGCTTAGAGCCCGATCAGTAAGGGCTGCAGGCATCAGAGGGGGTCCAGAGCGGCAGGGACAGAGGCTCAGTGAGGACCTGAAGGGGTGGGCATCCAAACCCTGAGGCTCACCTAGGCCGATCTCTAACCTGTAGCCAAGAAGTCACAGTGAAGGGGGGGAAACCGAGGCTCAGGGGGAGCAGCAGCTTCTGCTAGGCCATGTAGCCGGGCTACG